AGCTTTGCAGACAATTGAAAATTCGACTGTATTAAAATTTAAACCTGAAAAATATTTTTGCGCTACGATACTCAATAACGAATGTAGGGCGCCGTTTTCAGGTAAATGGCTGAATTATCATAACTACGTAACGAGTATCGTTTGTGCCCCGTCAACATATATACAAAGTGTGACTATAAAATAACCGGATTGATGTTCTAAAATTTTTTATTCAACAAATTACGCAATGGAAATGTTATCGCCTTCAATGTACTCCCCTCCCCGATCTCTACACCGCTCCATGCGAATCTTCCACTGTTGGAAACAATGTTGCAGATCCTCTTCTGATAGCTTGTTCATGAGCTCCATCGCTTTTGTCTTCACTGCGTCTATGGACTCGAAACGGGTTCCTTTTAATGCAGACTTGATCTTCGGAAATAAAAAAAAATCACACGGGGCTAGGTCAGGTGAGTGCGGTGGATGTTCCAACACGGGGATCTTGTGCTTCGCCAAAAACAACTTGACAGATAGCGCGTTATGTGCTGGCGCGTTGTCTTGATGAAGAATCCATGAACCGTTCTTCCACATGTCAGGTCTTCTTCTTTTCACCCGTTCACGAAGGTTTGTCAAAACCTCCTTATAGTAGACCTGGTTAACGGTCTGACCTTCAGGCACCCAATCAACATGAATAATCCCTCGGATATCGAAAAAAACGATCATCATTGCTTTGAATTTGGATTTGCTCACCCGTGCTTTCTTTTGTCTTGGTGAACTAGGACTCTCCCAATGTATGGATTGGCGCTTAGTTTCTGGGTCATACTGAAAAAACCATGATTCATCACAAGTTATTACATTTCCTAAAAAATTTGAATCATTTTCAATGTTTTGAAGTATGTCAGCACAAATGTTCATTCGAGTTTCCTTTTGCTCAAGAGTGAGGAGTCTCGGCACCATCTTTGAGCACACTTTTTTCATGTTTAAATTTTCATGTAAAATCTGTCGAACAGTTTCTTTATCGATGTTAGCTAATTCAGCAATTGCTCGAATGCTCAGGCGACGATTTTTTTGAACAATTTTATCGACTTTTTCAATGTTAGCGTCTGTTTTTGATGTGCGAGGACGACCGGGACGTGGATCGTCTCCGATCTCTTCCCTTCCCTCTTTAAATTTTTTGAACCATTCGAAAACTTGAGTACGAGATAGACACTCATCACCATAAACTTCCATCAACAAATTGTACGTTTCTGTAGCGGATTTTCCAAGTTTTACGAGAAATTTCACATTGACACGTTGCTCCACGTTAACACTTAACATTATTCCGACGGAGCTCAGGTACACGGTCCGCTTCAAAGGCTACTGGAACCAAATAGTTGGCCGCACGTACTTGGACATGTAACGGTAGATAACGGGGAGAGGATAGACCAATATCCCATCCTGTGCCTTGCCGAGCAAGAGAACCGGCAAAAAAATCAGTCCGGTTTTGTAGCCACACCTTGTATATATAAGCACATTAACTTCACACGCGGCTGCGCTATCAAAATTTCAAACATTTACAAACGTACCGTCATTACATAATCGTTCTATAATCACTTTTTCGACAGCTACAATCGAATACACCAGCTCGTTGCTGCACAAATCGTCGTTTGTTTATTGTGCAATTAATGACGAGGCGGAGAGCTAATTATTAGCATGCCCTGTAAAACGAACACTCTCTAATTTATATCCGTTGCTAATTAGTTTCCAGCTACGAATAATTATTTGCTAATCAACATTGCACGTGAGTTAGAATTTCCGGCCATTTTTAAGATTATTATTATATAATTTGTGAGACCATATATATAGAGAGTTATATCCAAAAAAAAAATATTGATATTTATTCAATACAAATATTTTACTCTATATATAAATTTTGTTAAATAAAGATAACTCATCCTTTTGGGTCCTTTTTGTGCAACCTTTTCGTAGAGTATCGATAGATGTTAGATCTTTATATACATCAATTTTCGTTAAATTTTATACGTCCATATCACCTGATAAAATCTTTTACATTTTCTTAATAAATTGCATGTAATGCTGGCATTTGGCTACAATTTAGATTAGTATTGAACCTCTCAAAAAGCCGTCGGCTAACTTCCTCGATTTGGTTTTAGTAATTGGAATGCGTAATATTCGGCTAGCATTGTTCCCCGAAGAATACTGCGTAACGAATGACGTGCGACGTCGTCAAGGAAATTGCATCTTAAATCTTACAAACTGGAATTCCTTTCGTTCAACATGCCAAGCAATCTGCTCATCCTTTCTCTCCCCTCCCCCTCTCTCTATCTTCTTTTTCTCTCTTTCTTTCTCTTCGTGTCTCTCACATGTCAAAACTACAGTTTTAACTGTGTTTTGAAAATTATAGTATTGAATTTCTCATAAATACACACATAGGATGCATGGACTATTAATACCTTAATTATTTATTAAACGAAAAAATAACACTAAAAAAAGGTACGTTATCTAAATTTCTCATGTCTGTTTTGAAATTTTGCGTGCATAGATTTAATCGCAAATGCGGGAACGTTACTTTTCGATTTTAAATTATAGGCACCGTTAGTATAATGTTGTGTAATGTTTTAAAACAAGGACGTCGCGAAAGGAAAAAGTGTCTATTACAGTAATTTATATATAAAATATAGATGCATTATATTTTTTGTCTCGTATAACCTGCCGCACGTAATAACTTTATATATGCATAACGATTACGCAGCACGACACACCCGTGCACGCTTAAGCGACTCGTTCGCGGTGATCCATAATCAAGGACATGCGATATCTCACAGACAGAATTTCCTAGATCCGTCAGAAAGATTATCAAGCAGCAAATAGATAACCGTTGCGGAAAAGTCACGCAAAGTTGGGCATTGTGCTCTGCGAGGATCGTATCGCGAGAGCATCATCGTGACTTTCGCGCCTAGCTCTACGAATTTCTCGTATAATCACGCAATCTAATCTCCTACTTAACTGCTATAGATGAATTCGTATTCAGCCGATTGAAATTATTAATATATTTATATTGTCCATCGTTACTATAATTTTTTTTTTTTTTTTTATTTTCGGATAATCAGTATTTTTTGGTGATAATTCGCGTGAAAATGAGTCATACTGTATACTAAATAATCATATAGACAAATTTGTTAAGAAAAGTTTGCAGATCCTTTGAAATTCAATTTAAAGTCGATTTTAGTTTAATAATAATTTGCTTAAAGTTTCAGTGCTATATTTATGGAAACTTTCTCCTTCATTATGCAACAATAATAACAACTATTCAACAATTAATATATGTTGAAAACAAACTACCACCTCTGTAAATTTCTTGCCAAAATTTTTCACAATTTCTCAGACTCCCAAACAAATCAAATCAAAATTTTGCTTATTAATTAGTTCATAATATTGTACAATCGCCAATCCTTAATGAGCTTTTACAACAAAAATATTTCCATGAAATATCTAAAGTATTTCTCATTAAACACTCCGCATAAAATCGAGGTGAAAAGTGCCTCTTCATAGAAACGATTCAAGATTCAGCGAGATTGAAAGCACTTCGTTATTTGCTGCATCAAGTAAATGGTTCTTTCAATCGGTACGTATACGCCACCAACGATCCCTATTGCTCGAGGTAGAATTCCTTTTGTCGAGTCCTTCCGCGGGTCGAACGCGCGAGGAAGGGCGGAAAGGTAGAGGGTTGTGAATTGAAATAGCCCGGTAACAACCATCGCGGCATTTTCTAACTTTTCAGACGCGAGAAAATAACGATGCAGCGGGCGCGCATACAATCACACAGCGAAGTATGATGATCTCCCATACCCGAAGAGCCCGAGGCATAATGATGCAACTCGCCGATTGTTCATCGAAAAGGGAAATGTAAAATGCAGAGAAACACGTGTCGCTTTATCCCATACCCGGATGAGAACTAACGATAGTCGGAAACAAAGACGGTAAAGTGATAATATATGCAGTGAAAAAATATGGAAAAAACCGACGCAAAATAACGAACAATATCTGCGTGTGAGCTTCGATGATACTTTTTATATTTAATTCTTGTTTATATCTTTTTATATGATTAAGAATGCAGAATGCGAGAATGACAGAAATCGTGAATTGACGTGTGGAAAAAAAGAAAAAGGTACGAAGAAGATTGTATAATTTTCAATGATACAAAAATTCAAGAAACTATTTTAAAATCAGAATATCATAAAAATTTTATAGAATATTATCTTACTTCATGAGCGATGTTTCGTTCCGTTTTATGACATTATGTCATTCTCAAGCGTATGTATCTCTTTTCTGAAAATTATTCGTTTTTATCTTCTCTCGCGCTTTTATCTCTCGACGTCGATGAGCCGAGATTTATTGGATAATTTTTGAAAGCTAAACTTTAAAATCCATTATATTATTTTATCAATAGAAAAGGATCGATCTTGAGCACGTTTCTGTTAATAAGGAGAGATGTACTATACTCCCAATCCTATCTAATATCACGTTCCTTTAAGTATATACTCTTAAAATGACAATTTTCTCGATGCATCTCCAGACTTCTTGATTTCCAGCGCAAAGGGCACAGAACAGTGACCCTTCTACCGAGTATAAAAAAAAACTAGTCGACTTTTTCTAGCTGGCTGCACACACTCGATGCACCAATCCAGCTAAAAGCCTTGGATAGCGCTTGCAAGTACACTCTTTTTCTGGTTCTCTTTCTTTAACATTTTCCGGTACGCAAGGGATGACAAACGGCGCAAAATAGAGTGCGAATAAAGACGCGGAATTTAATATTGCATACATCAGGGACGTTTTGTGTCATTTAGTACATTTATCTTCCGAGAAACAGATCCATAAAACTTGTTTGCAAAGTTGTCGAGGAACAGTCACAAGTGAAATTAATATATCGTATGTTTTCTCTGTATAATATAGCCGCGATACGATATGGATTATATGTTATATCCGTGTATTGAAGCAAATAACAATGGAAAGGAAGCACTTACCTTCCAGTTCAACGACCTTGCCGGCTCTCTTCAGCGCCTTTACCGCTTCGTCGTGCGTAGCTTCTCGTAGATCCTCGCCGTTTACTGCCAAAATAGCGTCGCCAACGTAAAGCTGCTCAGTAGCGTCTGCCGCCATACCCTTAAAGATCTTCGAGATGAGAATAGGCATTTTGTTTTCCTTTCCGCCCTTAATCGAAATTCCAAGGCCGTTGTTATCGCTTTTTACCACGCGGACGATACGTTTCTGATTTGCCACCGAGTCGGGCACATCCGGATCGTTCAGACTGTCCACATTATTATTATTGATATTACCGTTGTTCAGGGTGTTGTTACCGGTCTCACAACTCTCGTCGAGCGAAATACTGAGATAATCGTCTTCCAAGGAGACGAAGACGCGGTACCACTGACCGCGCACTTGAGTCTCGAGGACACCGGCACGTCCCGATGCCGAGGATGAGGCACCTGTAGTCGTGGTAGTCGACGAAGAGGACGACGAAGTCGCCGCGGACACCATCGAACCGATACCTATCACCCCCATGGCCGAAGAAGCTTGGCCGCTGCCACACAACTCCACCATTTCAATTTCTTCGCAAGCCGTACGCTGCAACAGACCAATAATTTCATGCATGACTTCTTCTTTCTCTCTTCTTTTTCATTTTTCCATTTTAATATATTATATTTAAAATATTATATAATATATAATATTTTAATATATTTATTTATATATATTAAGTCAACTTGATCATTTTTTTTAACGATTCATATATATAAATATCTATGATAAAAAATTATATAATACAAACTTTACGATTATTACGGGAATATAAAAATAAAATAAAAACTTTATATGTAAACTCTGAAAATTGAAAAAGCTGTCTTCTCGAGTCAAAAACGATCGAAAATAAATAGATTTAAATAAAGATGCTATCCACAGTACTAAAGAGGCATGCTTTTACGGAAGATGAGAGAATTAGAAAATATCTTGATTTTCATTTCACTTATCTGTCGCTCAATTTTTGGTGCGAGATTTGAGAAAAATGACAAAAAAATGAATGCTATAATGCATCGCGAATAAATGGCTCCAGTATTGGACGACGCGAATAAATCAATTGTACTATATCCCGGCAAAATTCGTAATTTGAAAATAATTGATAGCGGTCGGCAGTGACGTGGCCAAGTTCTCTTTGTTTTCCTCCTGCACCATTATTACCATCAATCCAGTATCGCGCCGCAACAATAGCGTTACTATTGCACGCGCGAAATGGCGTATGGGCGCAGCGGAAGGCAAATAATTAGAAGAAAATTGCATGCGCTTACGATAACGTCGTCCAACTAATATACATTTTATAATACTTTGTTTTTAATTAATTCTAAAAGTTTTAATAAATTCAGTTTGCGAGAAAAATAATTAGAGTTAAAACATTAGTTTATAAAAACCAAAAATCTGCAAAAAAAAAGTCAAGATTCAAAAATTCAAAGTCTCATCAAATTTTGAACTTAAAGTATGTAGCATTTTTATCGGAAAAACCATCTTCATTTCACTTACAATTAGTACGAGAAAGTAGTTTAGATTATGATAGCGTTAATTCTTTGGTTAATTTGGAGATCTGGTTGAAAATGGCAACTTAATTGTGTATATTATTGGATGCCCTATATACAAAATATACCACTTAACACTTTTGGCAAATGAGATCTCTGCAAAAAGTCTCTGCAGTTTCCTGAATGGAGTTCTACTGCACAAAAGTAATGGAATAGCGCGGTACGGCGAACGACAGCGACCATGTTTAATGAATGTGACGATATGACGGCACGTAGGTACGCGTGGCAAGGTTATAATTAAAGTGTTTGTCTCTGGGAATTAGTCCTGTGCTAGTTCTGCCTTCACGTCGCCCACGTGAAAATACACGAGAGATGTCTTTATGGATGGTATAACTGTGTGCAGCGCCCACGATATTACATACATACCATGTCCCAATTAACATCTGGCACCTTCCGGGATCATAAATTTACAATACGAGTTGGAACAATTTGATAATTATTTCTATAGACCAATTTATATTATATTCATAGCCTCTCATTTGCCGTAAATGAAAATCTACGATTCTGAATTTTATCAGTCATTCTCACGAGATGATCTCTCTCGAAATGATCATTTTCGCGTTCCCGATTATTTCGTGCCTTGAGCTTTAAAATCTTGAAGATTTAATGCTAAATTTAAAGTCTTTGCTATCTTTTTCTAACCCATTTATCAAAAAGGAAAAAAGCACAAATATCAGCTACATATATATGATTCTATACCGGTTCAAGTATTTCATCAAACAAATTAAGGATTAAATGTAATCGGATAGATTATCGGATTTGAATCGTGTTTAATTATTTAATTCCTAGATAAAAACGTAGAAATACATCGAGATGATTGTTGTCGCGAACCAACAAGTATATTAACGTTTTGAACAAGCAAACGGATGCGAGCTGCAACAGTTCACACGCGGATATAAATTTAAGTCGTTTTAGTCGCGGCGATGCCCTCGACGCGATAAACTCGCTACGGCCGCAAGTGATCCTTTTACGCAAGGACACAGAAATGAATTGATTCCGGCTCCGACCTCGCAGCGAGGATTTCATATCGGGGCTATCGGGCGAAATGATACCAGATAGATCTCCGTAGAAATTGCCGATTCTGTTAAACGGGTCCAACGTTGGCTCTCAATAACGGTGGACAAGCATTGGTAGATCATAGCCGTGGAAGAGAAGCGATACGAGAAATTTCGAACGTTCAAACAAAAATATGTGATAACCGCATTCGACAATAAGACTCCCAACAAAATCTTTCAGGGCCTGCACACATGAATGTCAAAATTATACTAATATAATTACACAATTATATTATGGAGAGAGGAGAAATATATTGAAAACTAATATAAATAAATATTTTTTATCTAAAGAGATTCGAGTTTTTATTAAATTTTAATATTCGGGAAATTATATTATTATATATATATACGCTTTAAGAAATTTAATAACATTATAATTCATAGACTGTCTTTCAATTGTGATTTGAACAAATATAAATTGAAACTATGTACGATCTCAAATATTTGCAAAGATTTTAATATCGTCAAGAAATCCAAAAATGTTGAAACTACAACATATATAACAATTCTAAATAAATTTATTGATTTATATTATAAAATTAATTATACAAGTTTAATCCATTCAAAAAACCATTAATAAAATTAGACAATATGACATAAATAAGCTTTCAACAGCGTAAATAAAAATATAAAAAGTGTCGCGTGACGCCATCATTTTAACCAAATTGATCCGCGCCAAGTATTAAAATACGGAAACAGACGTCCACACGCGCGTTCGCGCAGTCGTTTTAACAGAAACACGTGCATAAAGCGAATGCATCGAACTACATGTCCATGTGTGTGTGTGTATGGCAGAGCAGGATAGCATAAAGAGGAAAGAGCGAGATAGAAGAGTTGGGAAATTTCGACTGGATGTCGAATAATCGGAAAATACATTACGCACGTGCATTGTATCGCGGAAAGTAAGCTGTAACACCCAAAAATAGAGTGCAAAAAAGCGCAAGTCTTTCAGTTGCTTAAATTATTTACTTAAAATAGAAACCATTTGAAATCACATATAAAAAATACAAGATTTCATTAGCTGTTGATCCTTTTTTGCTCTTTTAATTCTTATTTGCAAAAACCTCTTTAATTAAACAGTCTTTTCATTTTCGATAATTAAATAATACTTTAGTTACATTAATATCACTAACAGAGAAATTTTTATGTAACAAATTGATTTGTCTAACAGAATTTACTGATCTTAATAATTTTGGAAAAATGATGAATCCGATTGATCGGAAGCTTAAACACATTTGTAACACGCTCGTAAATTGCTATCGGTCTAAATCCCTAACGTGATTTCGATCACATGGCAAGCACAATAGATACACGTAACAAGTTCGAGAGTTAAGTGTTGTTCCCACCAACGTTTTCCAAACGAGGGCACATCTTGCCTTGTTCTCTCATTTCTCTCACTCGCACTTTCAGCTACCTACCAATCTACGTCTATTTTTTTCCTTCTCTNTTCCCTTGTTCTCTTGCACGCGCACTCAGTGGTCATAAACTACTAGTACCCGACGTACGCTGAGGTTATTGGTTTTTGCAAGGAGCTTGACAGTGCCGTATACATGCTACCATATATGTACCTCCATTTTGCACGGGTGAATTTTATTTCTCCAAAATAATCCCTGAATCTTCTTATAGAATATTCGCAGGCGTTTTTATTAAAACTTGGTACACCGATAGAATATACAACGTAACTTTGGAAAAAAGTAACGTAGAAAAGAAAAAAAGGAAGTTTATGTAAATATTTTAGAAATTAATATTCTCTCGAGTTATTCTGTAATATAAAGATAATATCAATCAGCATTCTCCCCGATATAAGTCTAATATTCAACTTAAAAAATTTAATAATTTTAAATGTAGCTCGCGTTTATACAGATATTTATTAGCGGTGTTCGTCTTTTTGCTTCTCAAAAAATCAAATATATAAAATCATTAAAAGATGTCCAACGACTAAGATAATTCAATTTTATTAACATCGTTGGAAAAAAACATATTTTTTGTAAAAATAAAACGTGCATCTATCTAAATATCGCTGCTCAAACAATGTATTTATATAACTATAAAACCATCAATTTTTTCAGTATTCTCTTAAATTAAAAAGCATCCAAAAAATTACAGAAACGCTTAAACAAAGTATTTCAATATTATTATTGCTGCTGCTTATTTGATTTTCATAACAACTAGCATAGTCTCAACAATGCGACTTGAAAAGAAGATTTCCAGACCTCATGTTTATGCAAATTTTATTCTTTTATCAGATACCATTTTTCTGACGTGCATATTTTAATTATATATTTAAAAAAATTATTATTATAATAAAAATAACACAAGCATCCAATGTTTAAACATTGAATTATCACATTTACTGACATTATTAAACTCTTCAAGAACAGTATTTTTAAATCACAGATAGAAAGGCTAATAACAAAATTTCTATATCTATAATAAATTTATAGTGAATTGTGATAATGTTGAAAAAATATTTACAAAGAACGTTTTAAACTTTATTTTATGCATTATATAAGAATGCAAGTACACATTTTTAAAACACGAAGTAAATATGTTTCGCGTTGCTACCGGCAAGATTAAATACTTGCTTCTTTTAAATCTGTGGCTAAAATATGATTTTTTAAAATGTAGCGTAATCTTTTTTGCGTTCTTTTATTACGTGACTTCCCTCTAAATTTTTGCAGGTTTTTCGCTACACGGTATATTGTTCTTTTTTAGCGAGCGTTCGATCTTACCAAAGAATGAAGAGCCGCGACTGCCGGCTGGTTTCACGTGCTCGTCTCCGTTCTAATTCAATTACGCCATCCGGTACAATCTCCGTCTACCCAGTGGCATATTTATAGCCGCGCGAATGATTCGCGCTATGCTTTTCCGCGCTCCAGTATGTCATTTCCTCTTTCTGATCCTCTCACCCCCTCAGGCATCCCGATGCATATGTCAGTTGCGTAATTTGCATGGGATTTATCATGTTTTACGAATGATTCTTCGTCGGATTAATCATCGTCAATTCGATTTTATCCAATTTCATATATCACCAGATTTGTGCACCAAAAATGAAGAATTATTTACTGTAATTTTTTAATAATATACCAAAAACAATATTAAATTGAAGAATGGTTGTTAATGATGTGCCTGATAAAGAAGAATAATCTCCCCTATCAGGCATACCGTTAACCATTCCTTGCTGTTTACTCACTGTCATTTGTGGTATATTATTAAAAAATTTCCATTTCATATTTAATTTATTTCTCAGATAATCATAGCAGACTATCTGAGAAATAACTTATTATCAATCCCAGATATAAATATCATTTCTCTCATTCTCAGATCTCATTTCTTCTTTTTCAAAAACTAACTTTTGTAAAATATCTTTTTCTCTAAAATTTTAACACGTTTAACTTTGAATTATTAATAAACATATATAATATCATATAAAAAATATAAAAAATCACATGCATTTTCGTAAAAAAAAACGGAAAAAAGCAATTTTAAGCCCTCTAAGGTAGACTACTCCGTTAAATGTTTCATATTTTAAAGTATTTGCAAAAGCAATTTTAAAATCCATATCTACAAAGTTCTAAATGATAGCATAAAACAAAATAGTGTACATATATGTATAGATTTACCGTTTTACGCGCGTGTATGGGCATATGACTTCCGGTAGGTAATGGGAGGCTCGTCGCCTGGCCTGTTTTGCGCTCGTACTAGTTCTATCGCGGTTCTCTCTATTTCTCTTGCTTTGCTCTCACACTCTCTCTCTCTCTCTCTCTCTTCGTAAATCCTGCGTGGCGTCCACCGCGTCGTTTCTCCGGTCTCACGTGGCTTACGACATGCGTCACTGCCAGTCGGGCTAATACGATCCTCGATCCGCGCACGAGGCAATCACATAACCGCCTGTCGGCTCTCCTTTCAGCAGCCTCGACATGTTTTATCGCTCCTTCAGCGATCAGTCCGACCGTGATCACCCTATCCGTCTTTTAGTGAGAGATGGACGTGATTGCCTGGTCTATGAGCGTCCCCAGGTCGATCTACGCATCAGGGATCAAGATATCTAAGTCTGTCACTGTTAACGAGAAAAGTATATAGTCGCCTTGAATATAGACGAGTCGATTCGTTATCTCGTTCACCAAACGGACACCTACAATTCGCGAAGACCTGTTTTACTCTCGACCGTGCTGTAGTCTTCTCTCCGCTTACTTTCGCTTACGAGATTGAGCTTCTACGAGAATATTGTGGATATACGGAACCAATGAAATGTTCCACTTTTGATTAACTGCTCTACGAAATAGATAAATCTTCGATGCTGTGAATTCGAAGATAAAAGTTGAAGGGTTCAACTGTGGTCATCAAATCCTTGATTTTTGGAATCGCTAATTATCTCCACACAACTTTAGAATGCTTCAAACTCTAGAGTTTTAAATAATCAGATAATTTATTCTTTGGATTCTAAAATACTAAGATTGCTAATTTGTTGAAATTTTAAATGTCTTAAGTTTTTCGCGTTATTGAGGTTTCAGTATCACCGAAAATTATATTATAACTTTTAAATTATGATATGTTTAAAGCGCGCACTGTTTCTCTCTCTTCAAGATTTTAAATAATTAAAATTTAGATCTATTTATTTCAGATATTTGAATTTTATATTATATTTTGATATTTAAATTTTTAAATCTTTAAATCTTAAATTTTTATAATATTCCCGAAGTCTTAAATTTCTTTTTGAAACTTCAGATATATTTAAATCTTCAAGTTGGCATATCTCAATTTGATATGTATGTACTTGAATCAGAATGTTTAAATTCTCAATTCTGAGTTTAATAAATTCTATCTACTTTCCGACGCAACAACGTAATATTAATTTGAGAGACACACGTTGGCAAAATCAATTTTTCAAAAAAAAAAATGGTGCTCGATTACTCCAAAATTATATCACCAATCTTTGGAAGTCACGAACGACTTCTCGAAGAGAACGATTCTTTTTTTTAAAGCACGATTTACGATTGATTAGATGAGGATACACGCATCGCACGTCGTACTTAAACGTCTTGCAGGAAGCGATGCGAATAACGATGAATCGAATTTCAGACACGCACCACGACGCACGTACGCCAAACTTCACGCCGCGAACCTGCGGGAATGCGCGTTCGAAATTCGAATGCCGTCGAGATTCGAGTAATCGACGCAAAATGAGACGCACGATCCTTGGCGAGGGGCGACCATATCGCTAGCGCGAATCACGTAAAACAACGATATATCGCCTAACCTCACTCCGCGACAGCACCAAACGTACTGAAATTCAACGGAGCTCCGTTCGTCGCAGTCAACCTGCCGTAGGTGGCGATGGCGAACGATGGGAGAAACGCGCCATACGATGACGTCATATGATCGAGAGAGAAATGGCGAGGCTGGCTCGACAGCTGGCGCGAACGCGAAAAGGCGGTCTCTGCTTTATCGACGCACGAGGAGCTCCTTTGCTTGGATGTCAGATTTTTCGGATGTCAGATAGGACTCGTTTCAGCCGGATGCGGGTGACGTCAGTTTCTTTTATATTTTTATACTTGATTTATATAAGTGCATTCGCAACTATGGCTCACTATCTATTATAATTCAAATTCTTTTAATTCTTACACTAAATTTTAATCGGGTTTTATACAGAAAATTTAAAAGAATTTCTGTTAAATAATCTGTCACATACACATAAATATCTAATATCGAAGATTGAAATATTGTAAATATTCTAAATGGGGAAACTGACAATTATTATTGAATATTGTAAAAAGAAATATTGATAATCCGCTTTAACATTTGTCTTGAAATGGTTAAAAATTTATTTGACAAAGATGGAATATTCAATAAAAAATGTCTATCTTATTTATAGATATAGTAAAAAATAATCATTTGATATATCTTTATTTTATCTGTAGATTTATCGCTTTTGTCATCTTTCATATTAAAACATATTGTTTATTAAGTATCTAAATACGTACATAAATTTTTAATATATTTTAAGTATATTGAATTTTTACAAGAATGCGTAAAACTATTTGGGCAACGAAAATATTTTATTGATACGAATTAGAAAGTAAATGAGATAATCGATAATCGGATTACACATACCATTTTACAGAACATATATACAAATATACGAAATGCACTTTTTGCATTTTTGCATTTCTTCATCTTTCATTTACTGGAGATATATGAATCTTGTTCGGTGGATAACAATTAATTACACAATCGTTGCTAATACAGTGTTAATCGATGTATATATAATTAAAGTATAACACTCTTCTACGCTATATCTACATTTTAAACCTCAATATACATTCTCTCTTATTGATTATATTCCATTTAGGAAAATGAAAAATTATGCTTCTTGACAGTGTCTATAAAAGACGAAAAGTTTATCAAAAAATAATAGCTTTGTAGAATTATAAAATAAATTGAAAATTTATAAGTACATATAACAGTAATATAACATATAATACGTATATATAATAGTAACTATATATCGAGATGTATATATAATAGTAATAATCAATTAAATGAAAAATAAATTATAAATTAAAACATATAATCGAATAGTTGTTAAAGTAGAAATAACTTGTATTAGCAATAAAAATAAAAATAACAAATTAGTAATTTCATAATAAAGAAATGATTAAATTAAAAATAATTTGATTAAAAAATGCAATAAATGTACGTAACAAAATTATACTTCTACTTTAGTTTTTTTTTTTTATATTGCTTCTATTCGATAATGTCATATAATTATTTTAACTAGTGCAATATGAGTATATTAAATTTGTGTTTGAATTATCACATCGTTAAAATAAAAATATTTTTTTTAATATATTTAATTTATTTTTATTTTTCATTATTGTATTGTCATTTTCTTCAATCAATATTATAATAAACATATATAATTCATTGCTCGTAATAAATATATAATAAGTCAATAAGTACATCGATATTCTATTGTCATCTTTTAATTTTATTTCTTGTAGAGAAACACACGATACTTCAAATAAGAATTCCGATATTGAATTCCTTCATCGTCTTACATAAGAAATATCGAATTTTAATAAAAGTTATCCAAATGAAAGTCATTTATGTATAATTTTTACTATGTTGCACACGATATATAATCAATTTCCAAAATTAAATAATTAACGCGATAATAGATGTGCATTGCATCAATTACTTATATAAATCTCTTTTTTTTTATTTACAGTAATGATATTTACACTTAAATCTTGTAATTACGTTTATGCCTTACTTTTCTCTCATATCTTTTATGAAATTTCATGTAAATTTGTGATACAGAGATTGTCAAACCTCTCTCTATACATAATGTTTATAATAGTTTTTAAAAAATAATTATTTTTGAATATAATATCCTTCCTAAACTAAACGTTGAAAAAAAAAAAAAAAAAAAAAGAGACAAGAATTTCATGACCCACAAGACATCGTAAGCTTAGCAAGAAGATACTTCTGGTACAATTGCTCTAATACCGCACAATTTTTCCGCTTATCAAATCATAATTTAATTCGCTATTCCTGCGCCATATGGCCTTCAAGGTTTAAGATTTATTGGAGCTGAACGACGATGCATTAGCGATAGAAGAAGGCGAAAACGAGATGAGGATAACGAAACGAGGGTGGAAAATCGAGGGAAAGCGCCGACTAACCATCTGTAAGGCTTCCCTATTTCCCCTTTTCTCATCTCTTCTTTTCCAACTCAAGGCCCCTCAAGACGTGTAACGAATCAATTGAGATCTGAATCGAGCTCAAATTCAAATAAGTAGAATTCAAGCGCCAACTAAATAGATAAAACACGATGAAGATAATGAAGATAAGATAATGAAGATTCGAGGACTGATTTGTTAATTGACTTATTTTATATCAAATCTACATTAGAGCCTTGATATTTTTGTTAATAAAACTAAAAAATAACGAAGAACCAAATCTTAAATTTAAAAATAACGATACTGAAACGTTACTTCTTTTATCAATATCTTTTTATCCCTAATAAATGAAACTTTTATCTATAAATACGAAAACGAATGAATCAATAATTCAAAGGAATTCCTTAGAATGAAGGGTTCTAATCGTCATAAGGAAATGATTCTCAATCTAATCAATTTGTTGACGGTTCCAGGATATCCCTAAGATATATCACGATCCTGGATATGAATTCTTCAAGAATTGGCTGTCGCGCCTTGCCGACGTCCATTACCTCCTCATGAGTCGCCTCGCCATGATCTTCGTATTCAGTGACGCATTGATTGGTAATTAAACTGAACGCAAATACGGTGAGATCGCAATGCCGTGCAGTGATAACCTCATGAACCGTGGACATTCCTAAATATATAATTACGTCATGTATAATATTATATAAAAGTAAAAAAATATGTGCGTACAGAGAAATAAAGAAATAAAGAAATAATTAAATATGTTAGTTAAATATAAAGTAACAATAAACAAATTAAAAACAAATTAAAAAATAATTAAATATATAAACGCGTATGCGGAAATAAATTAATATATAAGGAAAATAAACACTTCTAATGCCTCATTTCAAATAAAAATAACGCGATTTTTTAAAGACAAAATTAATAATAATTATTATATATTTTGTATCTGATAATAAAATAACATAAATAAATTTTCAATTTTATATATATATATTGTATGATAATTATTAGAGATATTAGAAAAATTAGAATTAATTTTCAAAATGATTTTAGAAGATATACTAATTTCATCATTCTGTTATGTTGTTTGCTCTATAGATTTAATTGTCCCCTGCTGCGTTATGCTGATAAACGCGAGATATGAAATTGCAAAACATGTTGAACCTATGATTAGTTTCTTTGCGAAAAAAATTGATTGTTTACTTACATTTAACATATACGCGGTATTGCATAATGTCAACATTAATATCGTTGATATTATCAACACTTAATGATTCATAGCATAGTATTTTATAACGTGTTTAATATTCATCGATATTTTTTATGATTAAGGAGTGTCACTTATAAGAACAAAAAATTAATGCGATTCTGTTTTTTTCCGATTTGAATATTCAGAGTATATAAAGTATGCTATATTAATTTTTTAATAATTAAATATTAATATTTTTTTATTACTTATAAGACATTATATTTGCAAACAAATATTAACACGCTTGTAAGGCTCGATTAATTGAAAAATAAACGACATACCAACTGCATCAACACCGACCATCCTCAGCATCTTTAACTCCGCCACTGTTTCGAAATTAGGACCACCTAAACACGTATAAACCCCCTTGTGTACGAAATCGCCGATACCCATCTCTTCGGCTACTTGCCTACCGATCTCTATCAGTTCGGTATTATAGGCTCTATTCATGGGAGGAAATCGAGGGCCGAATCTGTGAAAAAGAAAAATGTGCTAAAAGATAAGAATGCCGATAATTAATAATCGATAATAAATTAATAAGAACGATATGTTGCGGTTTTCATACTTCGAGCGTGTATTTAGATAGTTTCGCTTTATTTAGCTTTCAATATCCGTTGAAAAAGCAGAAGTAAAATATCTTTCTTCGTTTTAAAAACGTTAACAAATTTGATTAAAAAACAATAGAAATTTACATTATTAACGAATTCGAATCCGCTTCCGCTTGAATTCTTCGAAACATTATCGAAACTTGTCGAACCTATGAAGAACTCTCGGAAACAAGAAAGAGAGAGGGAATACGGAGACTGACAGAAAGAATGGTATTAATTTATTTCATTGGAATAACCTCTCGAAAATCGGATTGATGAACTATTTACACACGGCGACATAAAGAAGCTGATTGACGTATTTGCTCAGCAAAGTCTTTCTACGCTCTATCTTGCTTTTTTCTTTTCTTTCTCCCTTAACCCTTCCACTCCCTTGACCCGGTCCTTCTCACCGTCTCTTTTACTTCCTTTCATCGTTCGACACCTTTTTCTCCGAATCCTCTTACAACTTCTTAACCAACTCGATAGTTGTATTTGTTCTCGCTTTTCCCAGACGAGTGAATTTAATTTTTTGTCAATTGCGACTATGAAGATTAATCTTTTCGAAATATTTTTGCACGCGTACAATTCTTCCTAACTTAACTTAATCTTCTTTAATATACACTGAGAAAGAGAGAGAGAGAGAGAGAGAGAGAGAGAGAGATTTAATCCTGTGTGTCCCACCTGTCGTCATTCGGTCCTTGAAGCGGGTTGTTGCCGGCAAAACCCATCATATTCACATGATCCTTCACTATCATGATATCACCAACTTTGTAAGTAGGATTTAAACCGCCGGCTGCGTTAGTGGCGATTAAATGCGTCACACCTACCAGCTTCATCACCCTCACTGGCATGGCGCACTGCGGATAGGCATTGTTACATTTCGATTAACATAATACACCGTTTTATATGCGTTTGATCCATATTATTTGACGATTGTGCGTAATTACCAAAATTTGCCGTACCTTCCACAATGGATAGCCTTCGTAATAATGAAACCTGCCCTGCATGCACATGACCGGTACACCCTGAAGATACCCGAAGACCATCTGGCCGGTGTGTCCCTTTACCGTAGACACCGGGAAATGTGGAATTTCTTCATAGGGAAAGCATCGCTTGTCCATGAGAGATTCCGCAATTGAACCTGGACACAACTCGTTTTGCTCATATGATCCTGTTTAAGAATAAAAAGGGTAGGATATACACACTGAAGGTCCCGCAACCATTCATAAATGTTCAAAGTAACGTGAGTTTTCTGGCGTAAAGAATAAGTAACAATACAAAGAGAGTCAGAACCAAATATAATATATAAGTAAATGTGTGTAGATCAGAATCAGAAATAATCAGGCAGACGTTATTAATACTGTAGTAATAATACTCAAAAATATCACACAAATAATATCGTGTAAGATCCTTTATAACTATATCTCGAAATATTTAATCTTGATAGACAACTATTTTTTCACTTATAACTTCAAGAAGCACGTGTGATAAATCAATGTTGTAATCATCACTTGCATATTAAAAAGAAAAAGAAATATATATAAATTTAGAATATACGTACAAATTATTAAATCCTTAAATTTATTACATTTTTTATTCGTTGTACAATTATTTATATTGGATTGATAATGAATTAATAATGGATTTTATTATCGATTTATATATCGAATAAAATTATCTCATTAATAATTCAATTATGAACAAATTGTTTACACTTAAGAGTACAAATAAGCAATCACTAACCCATTCCCGAGCCGCATATAATTCCTATTTTCGGTCTGATCTTGATGCGATTCAATAAATACTGCGCTGATTCTTGCAACGCTTCAAAGGTGTACCTGAAAGACATAATATAAATTCCTTTTTTTCTCTTGCTGTAATAAATGTCGATTGATGGAATTGTTCAAAATCAAAGACGTATGCGTCTGGAATATTCTAAAAAAAATTCATATAATCGAATATAAATACTTCAAGTCCTCTGTAGAAATGTTTCGCATGTAATTCATGTGATTTTACGCAACTTTCTAATTTACCCTAGTGCACGATATTATGAACCGACCCGTTAGGGAAAGCTATTGATGATGTAAGGGGGCTGCGAACTAATTTTCAGACGCGCGGTCGTACATGGCGCGGCTTTCCTTCTCTCTGTGCCAATATCGCAGAGACATATTAAAGCGTATTCAACAGATTGGTACTGATTAAGCGGACGTCGTACCCGCCGCCACAGCTTACAACTATCGCGCGGCTATATTAAACGTCCTGTCATAATTACATGTAATTGCGTACCCAAGCTTTGCTTATGGTAATGACAACTATAGAGATCGTGTAGTTACTACGATGCAGGTGGCTTCAAAAGTAGAATGTTGTAAAGACAGTCATTTAATAATGACTGCTAGAACATATATAATATACCCACCCTGTGTGCCATTTATTTCTATTTCGTAATTAATTTTTCACTCTTAAAACAAAACGTGCAAAGTTGAGTCGAATCGAATTTCACTATTGCCATCTTTCTGCAGCACTAATATGCCTATTTTGTACCGTATCGAGCAGCTGTTATCGCAAAGATCATGACAGTTCAACATTAAAAATATAATTTTAATGTCATTAATTGATATGACGTCACATAACGTGCAACAATCTATTTATTTTTTTCTTGCATTGATATTTCATATCTCCTGAATGATATATCCACACGCAAGTGAAACCAGATTATAAAATCTTGAACTTTATATAAATAATAATCAAGAGATACATATACGCTTACAAGCGTGCAAATTAAAAATTTAAATTTTATTTTAATTTATGTGATGAGAAATTGTGTGTATGTACAGTGTATCGATGATATAATAAGCTACAAGATCATAAAGAAACAAGATCAATTATGCAACAAGAATCGATATCAGTTGAGCTAAGAGAATTGATAGGGTAAACGGTGTGCATAATTACAGTTTTGAACATGTAAACTTTCTATACTGATATGGAACTATAATCGCTTATAACTCTGCAACTATTATTGATATTTCTGTATATTAGGAATTTTAATCCTAATTAATTTTCAAAACACATTATTAAACTAATTAATTTAACATTTTGCATAGCAATACCCATAAATCAAATTAAAATACATAAAACGTTAAATCAATTATTTTAATTTTGTATTCTGAAAATTAATTAGAGTCAAAAGTCCTGATGTGGAAATATCAAGATTTACGAACAAGCTTTCAAAGTTATAAGCGACCATAATTAAACATTAGTATTGAGAGTTTGTACGCTCGGAGCCGTATGCAATTATATATATATCGTTCACTCTATTAATTTTCATACAACACACAGAGCTGACGTATTGATTTTCATTGCATAATTAATCTTGTTTTTATCTCGTTATATGTGACTACTATAGCGTAATCATTTATCATAAATTTAAAAAAATTGGAATTTTTAATTTGTACTTATATATTCTAATCATTACTTATAAAAAATTTAAAACTCTTAGATAAAACGATATTATTGCGGATGGAATTCTAAAGATCGAATGCACAATAACAGAATATTTTTGTGCGAGAAGAAAATAAATTAATCTAGTGCTATGTTGTTGTGACGTCAAATCAATCAATATTAAATTCATTTTTAATGAATAAATTACTGACATAATTATTAACCCTTAACATTATCGAAATACATATAGTGAAAATATACGCGATAAGGGCTGCTCGTAATATGAAGCACAAAACGTATAGCAAGAAAAGCATCATGAGAAAGAAGCAACGATAAAATTCTATTCAACTTTATATTATACCTTTTTTTAAGAGTGTATAAAAATTTTATTTTATAATAACGCTAAAACATATATATTTCCAAGTCATGTTTTTGATGCTGCAATTCCATAGAACCTTGAATCTTTAAAACCTTGATTCCTCGGTTTCCTGAGTTTCTCACGCCACTTACATATTGACTTGTGTCACTTATCTCGCTTTCTCTTTGTTTGATAGAACGTCTGTCTTTTCTGGATCAGGCAATTGTCTCATATGACTCGCAAGCATACACGATGTATACCGGCTCTTTGATCTACGAATTATTAAATTGTTAGCTTTTGAAATTGTTAAATTTTTCGAAATTTGAAGATTTCTTAAATTCTTGGATCCTTAGATCATTTGTTCTCGAATGCTTGAGATCATGCATTTTGAGATTTCTTTGACTATAACATTCCGCATTCTGCGAAATTATAAGCACCAATTGGCCAAGTAATCGCGAGTAAATTCCATTACTACATAAATTCGATAACTACGTTCGCATGTGACGTGCGTTCTTGTTCACCTGAATGCGCGGAAATTTTGCGTGTGCATTTACGCGCGTGTATGCGCGCGACGCATACACAATAGATGAATTGTGCGTGAATCCGGCATACACAGTGTAACCGAAATACCGAAAAAGAAAAAAAAATATATGGATAAAAGTGCGCGTTTGTCCAGGATATATCCACGAGTGCGCTTATTAATTTTCGCTCACACGGTGAATGCCATCGAAAAAATACAATCAACTGAGGATTGGAAAGTTGCCTTTGAGCTTATTCTTGAATATTAAAAAACAACAAAATGCTATATTTAATTTTTTTTACTTCTTATCCTTCATTTATGACATCATTGATGTATTACCGTTAGCAGACAAATCGTTGTATCGATGTGTCACTCGTAATTGATCCAGTCATTCGAAGTGAATGGAACAATCGATCTATTTGTAACTGTGAAACTTTCTCCTTGAATAAATATACGTACATCAAGGAAAAATATTATGACGGTTTGTCAGTCACTTTTTTACTCGACTAAAGCGCGTTAATTTTCCGATTGATATTGCAGATTAATCTTTAAAATACTATTATCACACAGGTGTAAATATTTTACTGCTTTGAAATAATTTTCAAAATAATTTACCAAAATAATAATATACATACGGTCTTCAATTTATATAATTTTTATAATTTACATAATTTTTTTGAAAAATTCCTCTTTCTTCGTTTCATGATTTAAACATATCTTTAATCATTGAAAACGCTCTGTGTAACTTTTATTCAATCTATAATTAGAAGACTTCACAAAAATGGCTTACGACTTTCTTTTGAACACCACGTATATTTCTACAATCGCGCATTTCGCGTACGCGCATGCATATTCCGATGCATGATTTGTAATACCCCTGAAGCCTATGTTATGCGTTTAGCTTAAATGCGCTACTATTTGAGCGTGCCGGTAGTTTAGCAGGTAACCGCACCGTTTTGTACTAGTTTCGAAGCGAAATTACATCGAATTATAGTGGGCGCGCGCGGGCGCGCTCGGAATACTTCATTCATTCGATTTGCGTCAGATATTTGTGAGAAGTACAATTAACCCAACTAATTTCGTAATATCGGTAATCATTTGCATCCAGCAAATATTGTTTGTACACGTATATATTTTAACATACACGACTTCTATTACATCCTATATACATGTATTCTTCTTCAACGTGGGGGACCATGATGTTGAAATAGATTATTAAACCTCAGATAAAGTTTGATAATAATTTGATAATAATTTGAACAGTTTATCTTGGGTTGATTGCAAGTGTAAACTGTGGAAAATTTCAGCTCGAATGTCAATTACAGAGACACTTAACATTACACGTTACCAAAGTTGCAAAAAATTATGTGACTTATAGCAAAGATTTTACATTAAAAAAATATAAATTCTGTTAATTTTTTTACTTCTTTTCATTTTCAAATACCACTTTTGCATATCTTTTACGTCAATCTCGAAGTTTTACGAAAAACAATTTGAATCAAACTTACGTATGTCGCGCCTGCTTTACATTCGTTTGCAACATGTCGTTATTGGTCGATCGTTTGACGGACGGAAAACTGTCGTGACCGTTAATAGTATCCGGAAATGGCATTTTCACTTTGAATAGATAACGTGTAAAAAAGAAAAATCACTCGTTAATAACTAGCGATAAAATTTAAAAAAGATAAGAACAATGCAAGCAACTGACAGATCAATTCGAACACGCTTTTACTAATGGCTGGCGTGACTTTCGTGCTCCCGTTTTATAGAAAAGTTCAAGCACGAGTCGAAAAAATGCGAGCGTTAATGAGCCGACCAGTGATCGAGAACACGCATAAGCACATTGACCAATCGGCGACTGCAAAGTACTGGCATATAGGATAATCAGAGAAAAGATGAAGAGGGGAGAAGACGCATAAGACGATAACCCATTACAGAGCAAGTGGTCCAATTATTGTTATTTGTTCCAACAATGACGTTTTGACGTCGATGAGGCGCGAAATCTAGCGCTACGAAATGCCGGAATAATATTTTAGTTGACATCAACTGATTAAGGAAACTGACCCGGAAAGATTAAAAAAAAAAAAAAAAACTAGAGAAAACAGAAATCTGTAAAACATCGGTCATTTATTATATTTATAGTTCAAGTGCAATAGTATTAGTTGTATTGCATATAATTGTAGATTTAAATATTTATTTGTTATCTTTGATATAAAAAGTTATAATTAATTAATAATAATATAATCGATTTTTAAAAATTAAATGCAAAATTAATAGATAGATAAATAAAGAATCTCATGCTTAATTAATTATCTGAGTAATTATATTCAAGCAGCTAATTACATGAATTGAACATATTCTATTACTTTTGATTGAAAATAATCAGTTATGTTCAATCCTATATAATTTAGTATCTCTAATATTCCTCTATTTGTATTTGTCATAAATAATATGTAACAAGAAAATCTTCCTTTATTAAAATAATTTAAAGTAGACAAAATGTAAAAGATAAAACGTAGCTTTTAAATCAATTCGATTTTCTCTGCATTCAATTGTGAAGCGTTTAATTTTATTATTTCTCTCGCCTCAGCATCAATAGGCGAGCAAATGAAATATACAGAAGCATTCTCATGAGATGTTATTACATAGTTACTGCATGACGAAACGTGTCCTCAATGCTCGTCCATTTCCTATTTTCTATACAAATTCATATATTAGATTAAATTTTTTCCTAATATATTATTAATAAAATGTTTAAATCTTATTTATTAAAAAAAAAGAGATTTGTATTTTTCTTTAGTTTCTTTTTTACATAATTTTAAACAACCTAAATTTTTTAGAAATTTTTGAACGGACCAGTTTTGATTTCCAGCGAAATGCTAATTTTTACGGCTCGCATAATCCTTCGAAGAAATCTATCGCTAATAACGAATTGACTTGAGTCAGATTAGCTGCTGCATTTTGCGATTGCAAAACTAATTAGCATCGGACTCAACATGCCATAATATTTACACGCAGCATATTACGCTCGTAAATTTAAAACGATAAACTATAAGGAGAAGTTGCTGGAGGTCAACCGATGAGAACCCCAGCAGATCTGTATGGATCATACTCGGGTCGAGATTGACGCATTTTTGCTTTTCCTTACAGTCTTACAACATTTTATATGACGTCTGTGTATTGCGCTTATCTGCTGGCTGTAGTAAATCACTCCACTAATTTCTCCATTCTCTCTCCACTTCTACTATAATACTTTCGTTTTCAAATTTCAATAAACCAAGTAATTTTAGACCCTATTAATATAAGATAAAATTTACTATTATTATATGCTACATTTATACTGTTATATTACATTTACGTATACACATGACTTCCTAATTAAAATCAATAATATTGCATCATACACGAGGTGGTGCCAGGGAATATTTTATTCAAAATTATCAATAGAGCAATCCAGATAGCACTCACACATATAAGAAGGCCAAAAAATCTCAAAAATGTCTAAAGAGCGATAAGATGTCTTTTATTAGGAACACGTGTTATCTAGGAATAGATGATGCACTTACGTAACGCAATGTTAAAGCCATCATAAAAGAAAATTTTCTTTCTTTTAGATAAATTTTTAAGAAAATTTTAATATTTTAGATAACGCGCTATCACATGCACGATACTGAATAATGTGCATGTACTTAATAACCCAACTATTAAACGACAAAACTGGTCAGCATAGTTGGTTGAAAGTTGTAACTCTATTGGAGAAGAGAATTGTCGAATGTTTCAAACTACGTGAAATATTCTAACAATGTATTATCATGTATCAAAAATTCCGATTTGCTTTTTGTTATTTTATTTTAATTCCGTTTGTATTTTGTGAATCAAAAAATATAAAGATTAAAATATCACAATTAATTAATAAAATAATATATAATTGATTATGATTATTTTATATAGAAAAAAAGCTTAATATATGAATAATTAATTTTTATTAATTTAGCTAATTATATTGTAGAACAAATTAATATTTTTAAGGACTTGGATTTTTTTTATTTCGGAATAAAAAGATTTATTCTACAAAAAGAATTTCCAAAAATGTTTATCCCTGTGAAAATGTTCAATATATTTAAATACATATGAGAAACGACATATATAATTCAACTCTCAATAACTTGAATAAAGATGGAGCAAACCTAATGCAGAGAAGCATTATTCATACATATATGCGCTGCATATTAAGCAACAAGTAGGAATATATTCTCGGCTGCCTATTTACCTCCGGGTTAACTATCAGATGCTGATAACAACTTACAATTGTCTCTCCAGGTTAACCTTTCCACTTCTCGTATTGTTCAAAATAATATCGTTAATAGCACACACTCATTCTTTCAAACGACCTAATATAGATTTCTATTTAACCCTTGACATATTAACCAATTTTGTTCACATAAGAAATATTGTCTTGATCAATAAGTCTTTCTATTTTTTTTTCAATCAACGGTTTTAGCGTCATGTTACGTATATTTTTAACTTCAATTTTACACATACAAATGAAAAGTTGATATTTTGACGCGTAATTAAAAAATGAAGATTGATTGTGTTTATTACATTTGGCATTAGCTCAAGAATAAAAAAAAAATTCGGCATATTATATATGCTTTATATTTTACTATCGTAAGAAAAAAAATACAATGCACAAAAGCTAGAAAAAAAAGAAAATTTTGCACATTTTTATCGATATTAAAAATAAGCCTGCGAGAATTAAATGTGAAATTACATACACACACACACACACACATATATATATATATATATATATATAGTTTTCCACAAGTATGAAAATGACACGGTCGTAGAATACGAATAATGTAGAAAGTAAAACGAACAGGGATCAATAGGAGTGATGGATTTAACTATATCCCCAACTAATAGTTTGATGGACCAATCAGGACAAGAGGAACCAAAGATTTCTTTGTTCTGATTGGTCAATCAACAGTTTTATATTACACTAGTAACTAGACTAAAAACTAGCTACATAAAACTAGTTCTAAAAACATTGAAAAGTACTAGACAATAGATCTGTTCTTCATAGCTGAATTGGCTGCACTATTCAGATTTTATCTTTCTCCTTCCAAAGTGGAGAGAAAAAGATAAACTCTGAACTAGTGCCACTAGTGCAGCCAGTTCAGCTATAAAGAACAATCCTAAATATAAATTGAAAAGCAAGTACACTATACGTCAATAACACTATAAAAAAGATTTTCTTTATTTTTTTCTTTAAAAGTCTTCAAAGTATAAATATATAATGCACAGTAAAATATTAATTTACTCTGCTGATGTAAAGAGAAAATTAAGAATCTAATTATACTCGTACAATATTCAACAACGTTCTTTAAATTTATCAATTATTCCAAGTTTTTAATGTTTTAAAAATGTGTTTCTTCGATTAAAATACAGGTATTATATACCTAAATTAGGAATTATTTTGTCAATTGTATATGATTAGTTAAAAAGGATCTTACCGTCTTACATACATATGTAATTTATTGTTCATGAATAATAATCAAGAGAATAACAGATCATTATTAGATCAACAGGTATATATAATCCATTGTTATATAAAACCCTGAGATTATGTCCACTTTGGAGGATAAAATTTTGGGAGAGAAGTTGCACTATTACTGCAGCAGTTCGAGCGAAGATGAGGGAAATGATGATTCTGGAGATTCCGATAAGGAATATAATGATGTGAAATGCACTGAGGACACTGCGCAATATGCTGCACCTGCAGAATGGGATGGAGTTTCCAACAATACAGGACCTAAAGGTGTCATAAAGGTAAGAATTATAATATAATACTAATTATAATTTATACTTGTGTATCATAATTGTACCCTTTGATTGTGGAAAAGATACTAAAATCTAGATAATTATATTTGAGTTTTATCAAATATATATTTTGAATCTAAAAGATATAACCCTTTATATTTTTTTAAAATGTATTCTTGACAGGATTGGCAAAGATATAAGCAACTAGAAGCAGAAAAGCGAGAATTACAAGAGAAAGAAAAGTTGGAGTTAATTAAAAAACTGAGTTTAACATGCCGCAGTGCTTTGGATGAGGAGAAGGAAAAGCTGAATGAGACAGATCCAGATCTGGTAAATTTATTGACTGATGAATTCCTGTTGGAATATCAGAAACAGAGAATGAAAGAGATGTTAGCAAAAACAGAGAAGCTTTGCTTTGGAAAAGTTATTGATTTAGAAAATGCGGATCAATTTTTGCAAGCTATTGATGAAGAAGATAAATCAGTGACTATTATTGTTCATATTTATGAAGACAATGTACCTGGCTGTGAAGCTATGAATGGATGCTTGATATCTCTTGCTGAAGAATATCCTCATGTGAAATTTTGCAGAATTCTAGGTCTGTGCTAAAAATTTTAAGATTATGCATTTAAGCTTCCATTATCTATCATTAATTAAATGAAATTAAATGTTTCTACTATCAAGTTTTAAGACTATAAGTCAACAATAGAATCTTGTTATAAAATATATAATAGAATGTTTTTATTTTTCAACTGCTTGTTTTAATATGGATATTCAATTAAATTCTTTTAATATTATGCTCTTTCAGGATCAATTGCAGGCCTCAGCAAACAATTCAAAAAGTACGGTGTGCCAGCATTGTTGGTATATAAAAAAGGACAAATTATAGGGAATTTTGTACATATGACAGATCATCTGGGAATGGACTTTTACTCATCGGATGTCGAGATATTTCTCATTGAACATGGAATACTTGCAGACAAAAATTGTGTACCTCTCATCATTTCGAAGAACGAAAACAAGACATCTGATAATGAATAAAAAGAAAATTTAATATTGTCATCTTTTTTAAGATAATTTATCGCGAGAGATCTTTTAATTAAACGTGGAATAATTTAAAATTAAAAACTATACAATATATAGGACGTTTATCGAAGAAGAATCGAATATAGAGATTATAAGATATAAATGCAGAAAAATATTTAATATTTTAGATACTCCTTTTATTATTATCAAAATATCCTCCAATTGTATTTAAAAATTTATTTTAATTTATGTAAGATACTTTTCTTTTTTTTTATTGCATTGCAAAGCTGCAAATAGTTTTCCAATATGTTATCATATTCTGTGTTTTTCAAACTATCATAAAGCTTCTTTAAATCTTCTTTTTGACGAATTTCATCTCTGATTGCCTTCAACTTTTCTTCAACCAGTTGATTTAGCATTTTAAAAGCGTCGATTGTAGTTGGAGTCTCCTTGAACATTCTGATTGTACAAGAAATATTTGTTAGTTTTGCTTGCAAGTCAGCAACTTGTGCCTGCAGCAGTAAATGCTCTGCCTTCTCCAAATATGCTTGGGTCATATCCTCATATTTCATCTTATTCCATCTATCAATTAATTTTGTATATTTCAGGGAATCGCTTTTGCATTGCATAATTAGTTCCTCAATTTTATTCTTCCATTCTACTGCTGGTATGTCATAATATTCCAGGAATTTATTGTGCATGTTGCACTCATTGCTCTTCAATGCCTTTTTGACATTTCCTCCTAATTCTTCATATCTGTAATGTATAGAAATAAACACAATATATTAAAATTATTTTAAAAATATTAAAATTTATGTACATTATATACTAGATATTAGATATTTTGATGTATGTATTAAACTGATAAAATTATTCTTTAACTATATGATAGCATATTTACCTTAATATCATATTGTGTATTTTTTCTCGAAGCATTGTCTCGACACAGCATTTAATCTCTAATTTCTCATCAGGATTTAAGTCTGACGATGGTAAATCAATAATTCCTAAAAGCGTCAATTCGTCTTGCATATGTTTTATTGATGAAGGAAGATGCATATATTTGTCAAGTTCATGATTTAAGAGTAATACTCGCAATTTGCTTGCTATGCTTTTAGACAGAACATCTTTGTCGTTCAAGGATGCTTCCTTAATGCATTGATAAACAATATTGACTTTTCTGTGCTCATTCATATTTTTCTCGCATAATGAAAAAGACTTTATCGCTTTCTCAATTGCAGTTGTTTCTTGGATTATCGCAAGCTTATCATTGCTACTTTTTATAATGCTAGAATTATTGTCTAACAAGCATTGTGACGAGTCCACCCTGCCAATAAATCTACTGCTAGAATGAGAAATTGTCGAAATGCTGGAAATATCTGTAAGGACAAACTATATCTGTAAGAATCTACAAGATTTTAATATTATTATATTACGATTGTGTGAAACTATACATATATATAAATATATAAAAACTTTTAGATAAATATGTCAGTTTTATTAACAAAATAGTTTTTGTCTATAATTTTGCAAGTTAAAATACATTACTCACCCGATATTTGACGAAGATCACTAAAGTTACTCATGATTCACGTATTTATTTAACAAATTCACAATTTAAATCATATCAAACTGATACAACGAGATATAATCCTTTTATATCCTTATTTTTTAATATGAATATGTTTCTTCAAAAGATATACTATTTTCGAATAAATAATCTAACGCAATTTATTTTGCTGTTAGCTGTTATAAATGTTCAAAATATTCAAAACAAATATGTCAGTGACATAAAAAAGATCGTGGGACGAATCCCATCGGACGGGACCTCTGCGCAATCTCCATCGACGATACGTTGGGTTGGAGGGTGTGTATGTGTATGTGTACGAATATATATATATATATACATATATACATATAGAGTTTTTAAATTTTATTTGTAGATCGACGATGAGCCAGCATGGCGACGACCGACGACACTTGTAGTAACAAAACAAGAAATGGGAAATGTTTTGTATAACATGTCATAATTTGATTATGTGGCATGAATTCGTCCGCTGTCCTGGTATCCCTATGCGTTATTCGCATCGAGATTTGTGATCCAGAATTAGAAGAAACTACTAGTGAACGTAAGTATCTTGCAATTTACAAATATATCGCGACAAGTAGTTTTTGATTTATATATGTTTTATATTTTAATATCGTATATATTTCCCCAAATTGCAATAGCCTTATACTAAAATTAAATTGCTCTAACTTTATTGATTTTCCGTTAATTGATAAATAACTATGTAGAGTCGACTATATAGTGATGATTATAAATTATGGATAAAGAAGTTTTAGTTGCATAATATCTTGTTTTATTATAGGTACCATGGCTGCAAGGAAAATGAGAGGTTGCAGAGAATCGAGGGATATCAGTGTGGAAACTTACACAAATGTAACAGAAAACACATCTCCGTTGTTGTCAAATCAAAGCACAAGCAAATCGCATTCATCCTCAAGGTCTAATTCTGAGGAGACATCATTTGCAAATTCTAATCATGCTACTGGTCCAGGTGACATTAACTGTGCTGCTTCCAGCACTTCACCAGATCAAATAAGTTTTATCTCTGGAAATCCCTTTGTCGAAATTACAAAAGGCATTCTCCATCTTTTTAAGGAAGAGTAAGTTTTTTTTCTTTTACTAAATCATTTAATTATATAGTATTGATTTATATGTAGTTTATACAAATATATTAAAAACTAATGATGCTAATTTTTTTGTAATTTAATTCCAATTTTTATTTTGTTGTAGTGAGCTGACTGAGATGCGCTGCGCTGCTGATCGCAGTCACACCATCTGTATCCTGTCAGTACCAGCAACAATGACTTGCCATGACCTCCTAACTTTTACAGCAGCTTGTCATCAGAACATACAACATTTTAGAATTCTTAGAGACGGCAGTCCTAATCAATACATGGCTCTGATTACCTTCAGATCATCAGTGAGTAAATAAAAATTTGAGCGATATATTTTTGGCGTTTCAGAAAACTCGCTGACTTTATATATGAAATTAAATAGTTCTAAATTAAAATGCTCAAAAAAGATTGTATAAAAATAATTGAATGTAAAGAATTAATTCGAGATTATATCCAAAGTTTGATAAGTTTATTGCATTTTAGAGCGCAGCGAGCGAGTTCTATGAAACCTTCAATGGCGCACCATACAATTCTCTGGAACCAGAGGTAGTTTGTCACATGGTATTTGTATCCAGAGTCGAAGTAGGAGATGATGGAATGCCCCTAAGTGGACACACAGAATTACCATCATGTCCCGTTTGTTTGGAAAGAATGGACGAGAGCGTGGACGGAATTCTAACAATATTGTGCAATCATACCTTCCACTCCAGCTGTCTTGTAAAGTGGGGCGATACGTCCTGTCCGATTTGTCGATACGCACAAACACCTGAGCCATTGGCCGATAGCCATTGCATGGAATGTGGTAAGCATAATTTGTTTAATTGCTTCAAGTTGCTTGGAACTTGAATCTCTCGTCGGGACTTGTGATAAGATATATAATTCTTTAAAAAGTTGAGATATTTTATCTTTCTTTTAAAACTTTGTATTCCTTCGATTATTATAAAGATAATTATTTGAAATTTCTATCAAAATCAAAATTTGAGATATGCTTTATATTTATTTGAGATATGAATTCCTTTGCAGTTGGAGATGCCAGCAATGACGCATTGTGGATTTGTTTGATTTGCGGCCATGTGGGTTGCTCGCGTTATCATCAAGGTCATGCGTTCGAACATTACCGCGACACACACCATTGCTACGCGATGCAACTGGGCAACAATCGTGTCTGGGATTACGTAGGTGACAATTTTGTGCATCGACTACTGCAGGACAAAGATGGTAAAATGGTGGAAGGTGGTCACTCCGCAGCCAAAAGCGAGGGTGCTGCCGTGGAGGAGAAGGTTGATTCTGTGCAGCTGGAGTTTACATATTTATTAACGTCGCAGTTGGAAACACAACGGCAGTATTTTGAAGAGAGACTAAGTCGTTCGGAACAACGTTCCATGGCGGATATTAACGAGCTGAGGGATAAGTTGGGGGAAGTGCTCGAGGAAAACTCGCAGTTCAAGGTAGATAATCGTTAAAATCGATGGTAAAACAAATATGTTTTTTTCTTTTTGTCTCTTCTTCTTACTCTTTTTTCCTCCTTTTTTTAGTGGAATCTTTTATCGTTTTTCTTATCCGTTTTCTTTTTTCCTTTCTCTCTATTCTTTGTTAGTTTAATTACACAAAGAAAATATCTTTATTTTATCAGAAGCAATTTGCGACGCTCAATCGCGACAAACAGACATTGGAAAAGCGCTTGCAGCATTCCACTAACAAATTAGCACAAGTGCAAGCGGAATTAACTGAAGAGAAAGACTTGAGAAAAGCCCTGCAACTGAATCAGACTTTGTGGCAAACAAAATACAAGAAATTGCAGGATGAACTATCCGAATTAAAAGCAACTAAAGAAATCGAGATCACTGATTTGAAGGAACAAATCCGAGATCTCATGTTTTTCCTTGATGCTCAAAAACAGATCGAGGAGTCTGCCGATCGAGACGAAATTGCCGCTGGTCGTATTGTCATTCCTCCGAGTTCTAAGAATGGGAAATCGTCAGGATCTCGAGGGCACAAAAGTCACAAGAAGCATTAACATCGTTGAGGTTTGTTGAAAGCTTAAATTTGATATTCATCCTTGATCTGTTTAGAGTCTAATCTTTTTCGTTTAGGTTTGAGAATTTTTTGTTGATCTGTAAAAGAAAATGCGAAAAACAATATTTTTGTAAATGTTAATTACAAAATTTTTTAATATTCCAAAACATCATAAAAGGAATTCTAAGTTATCGAACAATGAGAAATTACATAAACTTTGTCGGCACTATATGTCATTAAACTAAATTAGTTTTTAACATATCTCATAACATAGTCTCGTCCTGTTTAAATCCCGGATTATCATATTGAAATTGATTGGAATTCGATTGTCTTGGTTGCAGTTTAAAAATCTGATTATTCGAAGGCCTTCTTAAATTATTAGCATCATCGTAAATATCATATGATTTCTGAGTCTGTGTCCTTCTCCTTTCTGCTAGAATAGTTGATCGTCTCCGCTCAAAGGCGGTAAATGTATCTTTTGACATTCGTGTGGACATGTGTCGCGACAAACCTGCGAAATAAATAAAGTTCTCAACAAAAATAAATTATACAAGTAATTAATGTGACAAAAATGCCATTGCATTAACATAGGAATGTGTATGTGTGTATACACTGTGTATATGAGATAAATAGTATTAAATTTTTCGATCTTTATTTTATTTTTCGAAATATGGTCATTTTTTTGTTCGTATCTTCTCAACTTTGATAACTTCACATTTGTCTTTGGTAATTAAGCGTTTGTAAAAACGCTTACGTTCTTTAATTTAAAAATTAAGTATAAAGAAACAAGAATCTTAAAAAAGACTATACCTGATGCATTTGGATCACGAAGCTTTCGTCGAAATAGCTTTTCGAAATTTCCTAACATCCTCGACGGCCCTTGTGACGGCTCTTTTTTCGTTAACTCGTGTATTGTTCTTCGTCTGCTAGGAGCAGTCATGGTACTTCGCCTGAATTCAGAAATCAAATCGTCCTCTGCCATGCGTTGAAGTTCTTGTGCTATTTTATCAGCATCTTTCTCAAAGATGCTATCTTCTGAAGAAGACTTCTAAGAAGATGAAGCAAAGAGAAATTATATAATAGAGAGAGAAAAAAAGAAATATATTTTTGTAGAAAGAAATTTTCCATTTAAATTAAATTCTGTGATAAAAATTCCGTATCCTTTATCTCTCTCTTAAAACAAATCTATTTTATATTTCTAAAACTTTTTTTAATAGATATTTAAAAAAACGTCACAAAAATTCTCTTCAATTTTTTTCGAAATATTTGAAAAGAAAATAACAGTATTTTACAAATAAGCTATTCTTAAAAATTATATTACCTTAGTGCAGAAAAGAAGCCTCGTATTAGCAAGCACATGGGAAAATGTGCCGAATCGGTGAAATAGCATTGCAAAAAACTGAATGCTCAATATGCTGATGAATGCAACAATAAATAGACATCCAATCGGCTCTAGTTTTAAATATTCTTTTGCCAAATGCACCTGTAAAAGATTGAAATACATGTCATAAAATAGATAGTAATCAAGAATTATTTAATTTAACTTCTGTAATTAAAGAGCTCAGGACAAGAAAGAAAAAAGTACATAATTCATAAGTTCCTCTTTAGAGCAGATCTTACAAATTATGTACTTTTAACTATATACTTTTGCGCTAAGCTTTACAATTTTATGTATTGTATAATATTCTATATAATATATGTTAAATTAGGATTTGTGTAATATCGTCAGATATAAGGAATATGTGACATTATTGTTAATGAGAACTGATAATAATATGTTGTTCATTATAAAAATATTTACCTCATCCCTCTTCACAATGTATGTAATATTATATTTCGATCCCAGTGGCCATTGCAAATGCAATATATTTTTATTCAACTGCATAAGGAACACGATCAGCACGAACAGAGCATTTATCATGAAGAATTTTAATAGATATGCATCACGACAGTTGATTAGTTCCTGAGTTATTTTATTCTAAAAAAATTTAGTTAAAATATAAGACATAATAAGAAACACATAAATCGCTTAGTAGCGGTT